TAGTGGCTGTATCAATTTTCATTCCCACCAACAGTGCAGGAGGATTCCCTTTTCTCCACACCCTCTCCAGCATTTATTGATTGTAGATTTTTTGATGATGGCCATTCTGACTGGTGTGAGACGATATCAATGAGATATTTTGTTTTGCATTTCTCTAATGATTAATGATGTTGAGCATCCATTCATGTGTCTGTTGGCAATCTGTATATCTTCTTTGGAGAAATGTCTATTTAGGTCTTCTGCCCATTTTTGGATTGGGTTGTTTGTTTTTTAGAAATTGAGCTGCATGAGCTGCTTGTAAATTTTGGAGATTAATCCTTTGTCAGTTGCTTCATGTGCAAATATTTTCTCCCATTCTGAGGTTGTCTTTTGGTCTTTTTAGTGGTTTCCTTTGCTGTGCAAAAGCTTTGAAGTTTCATTAGGTCCCATTTGTTTATTTTTGTTTTTATTTCCATTTCTCTAGGAGGTGGGTCAAAAAGGATCTTGCTGTGATTTATGTCATAGAGTGTTCTGCCTATGTTTTCCTCTAAGAGTTTGATAGTGTCTGGCCTTACATTTAGGTCTCTAATCCATTTTGAGTTTATTTTTGTGTATGGTGTTAGGGAGTGTTCTAATTTCATACTTTTACATGTACCTGTCCAGTTTTCCCAGCACCACTTATTGAAGAGGCTGTCTTTTCTCCACTGTATATTTTTGCCTCCTTCATCAAAGATAAGGTGACCATACGTGCGTAGGTTTATCTCGGGGCTTTCTATCCTGTTCCATTGATCTATACTTCTGTTTTTGTGCCAGTACCATACTGTCCTGATTACTGTAGCTTTGTAGTATAGGCTGAAGTCTGGGAGCCTGATTCCTCCAGCTCTGTTTTTCTTTCTCAAGATTGCTTTGGCTATTTGGGGTCTTTTGTGTTTCCATACAAATTGTGAAATTTTTTGTTCTAGTTCTGTGAAAAATGTCAGTTGTAGTTTGATAGGGATTGCATTGAATCTGTAGATTGCTTTGGGTAGTATAGCCATTTTCACAATGTTGATTCTTCCAATCCAAGAACATGGTGTATCTCTCCATCTACCTGAATCATCTTTAATTTCTTTCATCAGGGTCTTATAATTTTCTGCATACTGGTCTTTTGTCTCCTTAGGTAGGTTTATTCCTAGACATTTTATTCTTTTTGTTGCAGTGGTAAATGGGAGTGTTTTCTTAATTTCACTTTCAGAGTTTTCATCATTAGTGCATAGGAACGCAAGAGATTTCTGTGCATTAATTTTGTATCCTGGTACTTTACCGAGTTCATTTATTAGCTCTAGTAGTTTTCTGGTGGCATCTTTAGGATTCTCTGTGTATAGTATCCAGTTTGATGGATTTTTAACCCTTATTTTCCTTCTTCATCCTTAAGCCAGCGCCTTGAGGTGGGCGTAATTAACTCACTGATTTTTTTACTGTTTTTTTTTTTTTTAACTTCTGCTGCATCATTGAAGATCATCCAGTTTTTCTCTGACCTTACTTTGTAGATAAGAAGGCTAAAGATCAAAGGCCCTCTTAGGGACTTGGACCTGGATCTCCTAAATTCCAGACTTGGGTTTTGGTGGGTTTTTTTTCCTGTCTTATGGGAGATCTTCTCCATTTTAGTGTCCTGCTTTTACCGAGGAACAGGCTGAGACTTACAGCGGGGTGACTGGTGTCTGATCTCCACTGGGGTGGTCAGGGGAGAGCGTGGACCTTTGACTTGTGGGATCCAGGTCTGACCCAGCTCACTGCTCCTCTCTGTCTCTTTCAGAATCAGGGTCTCACCTGGCCTGGAAGGTCTATCTTCCTTATCAAGGTGTCTTTCAAGTTCTGGGATCTGCCACCACCTCTAGGCAGCCTTCCCACCCCTGCGCCAGGCTGACCCTTCTCTGTTGTCCTGGGGTCTTGGCCTCCCCTCCATCCCTCACCATCTGCTTTGGTAACTGTCTTTTTTTTTTTTTTTTATTTTTTTTTTTTTTCTGCATTGGGTCTTCATTGTTGCGCACGGGCTTCCTCTCTAGTTGCGTCGAGGAGGGGCTACTCTTTGTTGTGGTGCGCAGGCTTCTCATTGCGTTTTCTTCTTTTTTGTTGCAGAGCACGGGCTCTAGGCACACGGGCTTCAGTAGTTGTGGTGCACGGGCTCAGTAGCTGTGGCTCGCCGGCTCTAGAGCTCAGGCTCAGTAGTTGTGGTGCACATGCTCAGTAGTTGTGGCTCACGGGCTGTAGAGCTCAGGCTCAGTAGTTGTGGCGCATGTGCTCAGTAGCTGTGGCTCACAGGCTCTAGAGCTCAGGCTCAGTAGTTGTGGTGCACATGCTCAGTAGTTGTGGCTCATGGGCTCTAGAGCGCAAGCTTAGTAGTTGTGGCGCACGGGCTTAGTTGCTCCGCGGCATGTGGGATCTTCCCAGACCAGCGCTCGAACCCGTGTCCCCCGCATTGGCAGGTGGATTCTTAACCACTGCGCCACTAGAAAAGTCCTGGTAACTGTCTGCTCTTCCTTTCAACTGTGCGTTCTGTGCCGGCAGCGAGGGGTTTGCTGTCTACGGGCCCCTCGTGTCTCTCTCGGTCTTGGGACCTAGTAAGACTTGGTAAATGCTTGGTGAGTGAATGAATGCAGTGATTTGTATCACAGTTGTTACTGGACGGCGTTCAGTCCTGCTCCTCTCAGCCTTTCCTGCCTTCTCAGAGGAAAACGTGGCAGAGAAGTTCCCAGGAGTTCCCAGAAGTCCGAGCCCAGAGGGAAGTGGTACCCTTCGATAGTCGTTATTTTTCCACCCAGAGGTCTGTCCCTGTTTTTGAGCAGCATTTACAATATTAAGACCAATTTTTCGTACCCCCTCCCTGCTTCTCCCCAGTTCTGGGTTCATTTAAGAAATGTTCATTCAGCGGATACATGCCATGCGCCTACCATGTGCCAGACCTTTTTAGGCACTTGGAGGCACTTCAGGGAACCATCTGTTAGGGAGGAAGCTGATCGAGCAAGGAGTCCAGTTGGCTGGAAGCAGAGGCAGCGAGGCCTTGGGTCTGGGTGTCTTGGGTCTGGCCCAGTCCTGGCCGTTCACTCCACTTCTGTGGCCCTCAGTTTGCACATATGTGGAGTGAGCAGTTAGATTAAAAACATCTTTGGAGTCTCTTTCCAGTAACTCTCGTCGAGGGCTGGGGGCCAGTGGAGAGTGGATGTGTCCCCACTGTCAAGGAGTTCACGGCCAGTGGAGGGGAAAACCGGGCCAGAGTTGGGGAAGGAGAGCCACAGGTGTAAGAGACAGGGCGGTGGGACCAGCAGGGTACAGCACAGCAGTTGGGGTGGCAGAAGGGGGCGGAGAAAGGTGTGCCTGCACCGGGTCTGAGGATAGCAGCGTCTGCCAGGAGCCTTTTTCTCTGGTTATCCTTCCAGACACGGGGGGCCTTGTCCCCCACGGTGGGCCTGCTCTTCATGTCAGAGCGGAGGGCAGCAGTTCATTCATTCAAAGGTGGCCGTGCCTTTTCCTGCCCCATTCTCACCTCGCAGGTACAGCCGCCCACAACCCAAGGCACCGATGGGTCCGGAATCAGACGATGGAGGTTCTCAGGATGCTCTCGACCCCATTGGGCTTCACACCTCCATCCTGAGTTGGCATGGGCTTCCTTCCTACGCTGGAGGCGAGGGCCCCCATATTAGTTTTCTGTGGCTGCGGAAACAAATGACTATAAACTAGATGGTTTAAAACCCTGGGCATGTATTCTCTTACAGTTCTGGAGGCCAGAATTCTGAAGTCAAGGTGTTGGCAAGGTCGTGCACCCTCCAGAGTCTCTAGGGGAGAACCTTTCTTTGCCTCTTCCGGCTTCTGGTGGCTACAGGCGGCTACAGGCATTCCTTGGCTCGTGGCTGCATAGCAGGGTGTAGGAAGGACTTTCATGGAAAGCCCTTGTCTGTTGAGTTTGACCTTGTCTCTTTTAGGTTCACAGCAGGTAAACCCTGCTGGTGGGGACATCAGAGTGTCATCCTCCTTTCTCTCCCTGGGACGTGCTCAGACTCCTTTCGCTCCATCACAGGTCCCTGATCCACGGCAGGTATGCTGGCTGACTGAGCCAGCCCGAGCCCCAGGCCCCTCACCCCCAGAAGGGGACCCCCCAGTAGGCCGCGGATGCCTGCTTTGGCAGGCTAATTGGAGGGTGGGACTGTGACAGCTCCTCGGGTAATGAGTGTTTGTTTCTGGAGGCTCCTGGGACATCACCCCGGGCTGATTGTGGGTTGTGTGCTTTTTACAGAGATGGGCATCCACCCACCGTGACAAAGGCAGAGGTCAGAAGGAGGGCAGGGCCTTTCCTCCCATGGAAAACCAGACCTGAAGCCTCCAGTGGGAGTTAAGGAATGAACTGGGCAATGAATCAGGAGGCAGGGAGGTCAGCTCCCAGCGGGCTCAGTGGAGGGGTCAAGGGAGGGGAGGACCCTGGGATTAGTCCATGAAGCCTGGGTCTCTGTTTCCTCCCCTCTCCCCCCATCCCCCAGGTCCCAATCTGGGGCACAAAGTAGCCTCGAAACACACTGTTGGTGGAAAGGAAGATAAATGGCAGAGGCTAGGGTGGGCGCCACCCTGAGAAGATGGGCCGTTCACCACAAGGTGTGTGATCCGGACCGAACCACAGGGTCTGCACGTGGCCCTGCCCAGCCCCTGACATGCAGCTTGGTCCGGCTGGGTCCAGAGCATGCTCTGTGGCCCTGCTAAGAACGAGGCCACTTCAGGGAGGGTTCACACTGTGTTTTCCCTGCCCACTTGGAGACATCTCCTAAGGAAGGGGAAGCTTCCCTGGTCACTGCTACACCTTCCATAAAGACAAAAAGGAAAAGTGTCACGTGCTGCAAGACTCCTTTCAATCTCAGGCTCACACATCTGGGCGGGGAGAGGAGCTCGCGCTCGGGGCTTCTGAAACTCGCTCAAGGTCACACCGCAGGGTCGATGGGAAATCTGTGAGCACATGGAAGCCTCGTTTATGGACTAGAAAATTCTCGTTTTGGACTTCCCTGATGGTCCAGTGGTTAAGACTCTGCGCTTCCACTGCAGGGGGGCGCGGGTTCGATCCCCGGTCGGGGAACTAAGATCCCACATGCCCTGTGGTGTGGCCAAAAAAGAAAAAAAAACATCTCCCTGCTCTCTTTGCCACAACTAACATTTATTGATGCCTGTGGATATGCCTGGGCGCTTCCTTGCGAGGCTGCTCTGGGGTTTGCAGGCCTGGCATCCCTTGACCTTGGAGTACCTGGTCACTTTCCACGCTGTCCTCTGTTCACGTCTGCGCCCGGCCAGCAGTCACACACAGGAGAGCAGGAGAGTGGGGCTTGAGAAATCTCTGTGGAAGGACTACCTGGCTGATTGGATAAACGGATTCCATGGAGTTTTCCAAATGGCGGCTGGGGAGAAGTCCGGGATCTTTCAGAAACCAGGCGGAGGCTCTGGCAGACACCCAGGAGTGCACGCACACCCAGGAGTGCATACACACCTTTGTCTGTGATACCTGCCCACCTGTTCTCTTAGGAAACAGGCTCTGTGCTCAACTGTCCCTTCTAACAGGTGCAGATCTGGGGACCTCTGTTGTCCAGACACCCTGGATCTGGGTGCCTCTTGAGTGCAGAGCTCGGGGCCCATTGTGGGGTGGGGTGGCCCCCTTTCAAAAAATACCATTAGGAGGAGAAAAATGGGTCTGGGGACACAGTGGTAGGGTCTTCATTGAAAACTCTTTTATCCCTTCTGTGCTTGGTCTTATGAATGACTTCTCTCTTCAGATTGGTTTGTTTGTTGTTGTGAATGCAGCAGCTCAGACTTCCAGAGATGAGGGCCAGGCTGGCACGTGCAGCCTCTCTGGTCTTACAGATGTGCTGTGTGTCCTTGCTCCGTCAGGGATTCTGCGTTAGGGACTGTAATGTGTCCCTGTTAACTGAAGATGCTGGGAGGTGAGAGCTAACCCAGACGCTGGTTTAGGTGAAAGCTGACCAGGGGAACATATCTGGGAGGTTGTGGTGAAGGAGGTATAGTGGGTGGAATGTGTACCCCGTAAAGGTATTTTCATATCCTAACCCTCAGTACCTGTGAGTGTGACCTTGTTTGGAAGTAGGGTTTTTGCCAATGCCATCGAGTTAATGTGAGGTCATATTGGAGTGGGGTGAGCCCTGAGTCCAGTGCATGGTGTTTTTATAAGAGAAAGGGCGCGCGCGCGCACACACACACACACACACACACACGCACACGGACAAAGGCCATGTGAGGATGGAGGCAGATTGGACTCTGCATCTCCTAGCCAAGGAACACCAAGGATTGCCAGCAAACCAGAAGCTAGGAAGAGACCATCAAGGATGCTTCTCTAGAGCCTTCTGAGAAAGCATGGCCCGGCTGACAGCTTGATTTTGGACTTCCATCCTCCAGAACTGTGAAAGAATTGATTTTTTGTTGTTTTAAGCCACCTGGTTTGTGGTCATTTGTTACCTAGGAGCCCCTAAGAGCCTAACACAGAAGGGAATCCCATTCTGTCCCAGGCAAGGGCTTTCCCAGACTCTATTTAGGGCCTGCAGTTGTAAGTTGATAAGTGCACCTTCCTTATTTGCCTCTGCTGATATGATTTGGCATTCCCTCATTCAGTCATTCAATTATCATTGGGCAGTTATACTGTCATGCGGTCTGTTGTGAAATCTGCTGAAAGCCGTTCTTCCCTATACTAGTCATTCAAGTCTCCAGCCTGTAGTTTGCTTCAGCCAGGTGGTAGCCCCATCCTCTGGCTCTCCTACCTCCTTACCCTGATTCATGCCTTTCTCCTCGGCTTGGGAGCTTCTGACCTACCTAAAGCCTGCCCATCCTTCTCAGGCACAGACCCCTCCTAGATACCTTCTGGGATCTCTCGAGGGCTCCCCACCCCACCCAGAAGCCCAGCAGCCCTCTGAGTCAGACCACCTGTGGCTCTAGTCCTCAGATTGGCATCTGGTTGTGCAGATGTGCCCCCTGGCTTACTGTGAGTGCTCTGCAGACGCTTTCTCATTTACCCCTCAGAGCCGCTCTGGGAGGGGGTCCTTTCATCATCCCTGCTCTGCAGAGGAGGACCAGACAGGGGTGAGCCCGGCTTACAACACGTCTGCGAGCAGATGGCATTCACGCCCAGGTCTGCCCGGCCTCCCAGGCTGCCCCCTGAAGCCCATCCCCATGGCCCCCACCCTGTGCCCAGCCCCTGCGGGAGGTGGCCCCACTCCTCGCTGCTTAGCAGGGTTTTCACGAGTTCTCGATCTGTCTGGGGTTGTTTCTGAGGGCTTTAGGAATATCTGGATTAGGTGAGCTCTTGAGAGGGTGGATTGTCTTTACCCATGGAGATTCTCTGCCCCCTGCCCCACCCCGGGCTGGCATAGAGCAGGGGCCCGATAATGTAGGTGACCGAAGGGAGGAATCAAAGGAGGAACAACCCTGGAACCAGGGCATCATAGTGTCGCACGGGAGAGCCTGGCCTCTGGAACCCCTGAGGCTCCAAGATCCGGTTCTGTCGCATGACCTTGGGCAAGGTAGCTGCCCCCTCATGCCTCACCTTCCTCATCTGTAAAATGGGGATAAGAGTAGCATCAACCCCAAAAGCCTACTGAGAGGGTTCCAGGTGTTACTGTGGCTAAGTCACGGAAGGTTCTTAGCCACCTGTCAGTGTGATAAAAATGGGGACTCTTGGATTGAAGCCCAGGCAGAGTCTGTTGAGGGTTCTTTAAGAATGGAGATGGAAGGGGCTTCCCTGATGGCACAGTGGTTGGGAGTCCCCCTGCCAATGCAGGGGACACGGGTTCATGCCCCAGTCTGGGAAGATCCCACATGCTGCGGAGCGGCTGGGCCCGTGAGCCATGGCCGCTGGGCCTGCGCGTCCGGAGCCTGTGCTCCGCAACGGGAGAGGCCACAGCAGTGAGAGGCCCGCATACTGCAAAAAAAAAAAAAGAATGGAGATGGAAGAGCAGTGTGTGGCCTTTGAACAGTCTTGCAGTGAGACCTCCAGGCAGGCCAGAGTATTGCAAAGGGCCCAGCAAGCCCCTCTCCTCTCAGGCAAAGCCAGGCTGAGCGCCATGGTGCTGCTACCTTCTCTGGGGAGGGAGGGCACCCTGGTCCCGGGCAGCCCTGCAGATTCCTCAGCAGCTGTCGCTTCACCTCTGGGGCCGAGGTGGAGGCAACAGGGCTGGAAGCCTGCGTGCTGCGGGGAGGAGGGTTGAGTTTCACGCACGAAGGGTGGCCCCCATATCTCCCTTCAGTGGCATTTCACACCAACTGCAACGCCTGCCACGTTGGTTGAGAGCCTGGCCCAGGGCACTTTCCCAGCCCCTCTGCTGGGAGGGCTATGCCCGTTTCACAGATGAGGGTCTGCGGGGGTTCAGGCTCAGAGGTGTGGTCCTCCTGCAGTTTACACCCGCCTCCTCCAGAGATGCTGGGCTCACGCCCTCTGAAATCAGTGCCGCTCCCGGAGGCCTGTCTGCTGTCACTGCGCCAGGGACGCACAGGGAGTTCTCAGATGATGGGAAGGAGGCTGAGGTTGGGCAGGGACCGCCCGGGGACTTGTGTTCACTGCCGGCCCATCAGTGTCACTGCCCGCGCTGGGCAGGTGCTTCCCAGTGGCCTCTGCCGGGCAGGCGCTCAGCTGGTCCACTCCACTGCCTTGCAGGAAATCACCAGGCCGAGCAGGAGGGCAGAGAGCCGGGCAACTCCTTGCCATCTGCCTGTCACTCAGAGAGTGCTTGACGGTTCCAAAAGGAGCTGCTGAACCATGCCCTAAAGAGATGAAGAAAGGCTCCTGCCTCACGCTCTCTCGGGCTTGGGGGTTTGGAGGAGAAATCACTGGTTGCTCTCGCCTGAGTTAGATGTGCCCCAGGCCAGTGGCACATTGGATTCCGCTTCACAAAACAGCTGTGCCAGCGCCCCACCCGCAGTGAATCGGGTATATTGATAATTGCGCTGGGAGGGACCGGGACGTCTGGGTGTTTTGAAGCAACCAGGTGATCTGCATGTCAGCCAGGGTTGAGCTGCATTTGTTCACTTACAAGTGTGCCCTCCCTTGCCACCTAGGCACACGTGGTCTGTGAAGACCTCAGACGAATCTATCAGATGAGGTGACTCCTGAATGAGAGTAATGGTGAGAGCCAGGAGTGAGTGAGTGCCTCCGGCTGGCTGCCAGGCGCTGTGCTGAGTGTGTGTATTTCTCTCAATCCTCACCGTGCCCCTCTGAGGAAAGTTCTGGAAAAATCCCCATTTTATGGATGCGAAAACCTGAGGTCACAAGGGTGAAATATGTTTGCAGAAGCACAGGGCTGGTAGGGTTGGAGTTGGGCTGTCCACCTGTGACTTCAAAGTGCTGACCGCTAGCTTGACCGCCCCTGCCCGGACTGTGGGCGGGGACAGCGGTGCACTGAGATGGCTGTGGCTCTGGAAATCCCATCTGGATCCTACCCTACAGAAAACGAAAGCTCCAAGTGACCTCGAGCACCACGTGTAGAAACTGGTCTAAGTTGCCTTTTTGAGAAACACCTATAGCTGAGGAAATTCAGTATTTAAATGAGCAGGGTTTTGTGTTTTAGGAAGACGGACATTTGCATACACACAGATCCAGGGGTTTCTATTCCTGTTTGAGAGCTGTGGGCATGGCGGGGAAGAGCTAGACTGACTCTCAGGAAGCTGAGATGATCAGATGCTGCCGGATGCTCTCGGGGCCTGGAAGGCCGATGTTGCTGATATGTGGCCCCATTGGTGTCTACATTTTCCATCTACATTTTCCATGCCCTGTTTAGAGCTCGCATTTCTTTGCGTTTATCCTCAAATGCCTCTGGATTTGATCGTTTCTCATACCCTGAGTGCAGTTTCTAGTGCAGCAGAGTTCCACTCACTCCTTTCCCATACGTTATTGAAGTTTGACCGATAAAAATCTTCATCATCATCATATCATCGAGATTGTTGTCATTATTGCACAAACAGCGTTGTGATTCCCAAGAACAGAAATGGATGAGAAAATGAAATCACTAACCACCCTCCCCCTGACCAATCAGATTGCATTCAGATATCTGATATGTCTGTCCATACATTAACTTAGGATTTGAT